AGATTGCGAAATCTGAATTAGATGCGCAATAATTCATCCCTGATTTATGCTCCATAACGAAACGTCATAAGAATTAATGAAAAAAAGTTCCAATTTCTCTTATAATGCTAGGATACCTATGAATCAAAGTTCTATCACATTGATGCCTAGCCATACAAGCTGTGCATTACTGGAAAGAGCGTCGACCTCTGCGTCGAAAGAAATGCGTTTCCTCAGCGGCTTATATATCACAACGAATCCCCACCAGAATTATTAGGAAGAAATACCAATCTTCCCGACTTTTCATCGGTTGACCTTCGAAGCGGACTCTCATTTGCATTCAGCCATGCGACATATACACCAATCGATACTGTGCGAAATTCTGAATTGAATCTTGTAAGTATCATCGATGACTCAAGTACCTGAGCAAATCGTCACAACAATTAATAGGTAGAAATTCCAGCATTTCGGAGTTTTTCAAAGTTTTAAGGTCAAAAACCTCTATGGCTGATTGAAAGCCGTACACGTTGTACACCATTTGATATAGCTTGAAATTCTGCATCGAATAATATATGTTTTGTCGATGGCTTATGTACCTGTACGAATCATCAGGGAATTTATGGGGAGAAATTTCAACTTTACGTAGTTTTTCAAGTTTTTCTTGGGTTGAAATCCTTCATGATTGATGGTTAGCTATGCAAATTGTACAGCATTCGATAGAGCTCGAAATTCTCCATGGAATGGTATATGTTTTGTCAGTGACTTAAGTACCTGAACGAATCATCAGGAGAATTAATGGGTGGAAATTTCAACTTTTCGCAGTTTTTCGAGATTTTCAGGATTGAAACCCTCTATGACTGATGGTGAACTGTGCAAGTTGTAGACCATTTGATAGAGATTGAAATTCGGCATCGAATGGTACATGTTTCGTGGGTGGCTTAAGTACCTGAATGAATCATCAGAAGAATTTATGGGTGGAAATTTCAAGTTTTCCTGGTTTTTGGTATTAAAATCCTCTATGGCCTATGGTAAGGCGTATAAATTGTATACCATTTGATAAAGCGTGAAATCCTACATTGAATGGTATAATTTTCAAAAGTGGCTTAAGCTTCTGTGCGAATTGTCAGAGGGAATACTTGCGAAAACCCTATTTTTGAGACTTTCTAGGAACCCAGTCGGTTATCGGAGACTGTTATCGAAATAATTTATATGCCATTGGATGGAGCATGAAATTCTGCGTCGATTGACGTATGATTCACGAGTGACTTAAGTACTCAGGTGAATTGTCATGGAAAAACTCGAATCGGCTGTTAACTTTCCTTACATGCATCTGACCTGCTTGAGTTTTCAGAATAGGAATAATTAAATGGAATTAAATTGAAAAAACAATTAAAATATGCTTTTCCAAAAGAGCCAGTAGAAAATGTGTCGCGTCTGTCGTGGTCTTGCTGGAGAAAATATTTTGTAGTGAGCTCCTCGTGTCGCACTTTAGTGTATTGTACAATGTGTCGAAAATCACGACACATGCGATACATTTTTACGTAGTGTGCATGTAAGCTCAATTTCTATTGTTATACTGATAATTTTCTATTACTAATTTATGTTAACGACTAGTTTTATTAAAAAATTGAGTATTTACATTATTCTATATGAATAAAACATGTAATAAAAATAACAAATACTATTGCAGTAGGTAATCTTTTATAGTTAACTAACAACAGAATCGAAAAAGAAGCATTCATGCGTATAAATTGATGCGTTGAATTGAGTTTTTCTTTGAAATCACTCCAAACATAGTCGTTTTTTTTCCATAAATATGTAAAACGGAGAATGGAATAGAAATGATGATTAAAAAGTAGGACTAATAGGATGATGATAGAAGACGTTGTCTTAATGAATAAAGACAAATTTTTCAACTTTACATTAATCTAGATTTTACGGGACTCATCTAAAACTGAATCTACAATAGAAAAGTTCTAATTGACAAATTACTTGTTCTGGAAATATATCTGAAATTATCTATACAGTCAAACCACCTTTTGAAATAAATGAATGTGAATGTGAAGTTCAGTTCGATTGTTATTTTTTAAAGTTGTCCGATCTCGTTAATGTCCTAGTAGTAACATCCATACCAAAATTAAGTCTTTCATTTAGTTTACAATGTCTATGATTGTAGATGAAAAATGTGTAGAAGTTATATTTGTCTCACAATTTAATCAATCTTCGAAAAATTCTCCAATTAATTTTCAATTCGTAATAAGTTAATTAAGTCAATGATTAAAGACAATTCATCGCTCTCATTTATCGCTGATTTTCGAAAAAAGAAATCGTTTCTTGTACTATAATCACGATAAAATCTGATTTAATAGTTAATGCAATTAGTCACGATTTTGATAAAATATGAGAAGATTAATATATCGCTCACTCTTCATAATAGAAGCGTTATAGAGAGCGAATAAAGATATCATTTTTTTTGTATTATTTTCCCAAGACAGAACGAATTTAATCAAGAAATAGCCGCAGCCAAGTATGATTATAGTGACATCTCATTCAAATGATATCATTCGTCTATATGTAAATAGAGCATGAATAGAAAAAAGAAAAAAAAAGCTATGTTGCGTATAGTACAATACGAGTATAAAAGCTTCTATTGTTCATTATTCTATCTTCTTGAATATTAATTTATCATTTAACATTGTAAATAAACCTATTAAAAGCGATCTGCTTCCTTCCTAAATAAATTGACAATATTTTAATGATTTAACATATTTATATAGTAATGATCCTTATATAGATAAATTCAATGTCTTCAAGAGTCTGTCAATGTCCAAGTATCTTGTTTTATTGATTGAGTAAAAACAGATTCTTGAGTGGATTTTATTTCTTAACTTTTTTTCCTTAATACTGACTCAAACATTACACTTTTGAGAGAAAAGTGGCACAATAAATCCAATATATATCTCATTTCTTTTTTACCTTTTTATTTCATTTTGATATCATAAGCTTTTCCTATTTTTCTTACTCATTCTTTCATGATGATTAACAGTATCATCAATTTTTTCTCTCTTTCGACATCGCTCTATTAGTCAAGAGTAAAGCGTGAAATTTTGTCCTTTTCTTTTACGTTTTGTATGGTGTTTTTTTGTTTATTGGTTGTTATCGATTACACAAATACATAAGGTTAATGATAGGCATACTTTTAATCTACAAAAAAAAATATTTTAGATGGCAAATACTGATGAATCAGGTGGTGTTCATGCTCTGGTTCGTCATACAGCTGCAATGGCTGAATTAGCCGTTCAAGCTGGTTATCCAAATCGAAAACATAATGAATATTTACCATATCCTGATGATAATTTTAATGAAGTTGTTGATGTTGATGATGAACATTTACAAAGAGGTTTCCCTAAATTTATATATATATATATATATATATATATATATTTTTCTATTTGTTTGAGTTCTTTCTTTTATTTAGCTGGTAAATTTACTATTGAACATATACGTAATCGTGGTGAACAAACATTTGTCCCTAATGCACAAGTTCGTGTTAAAACAATTGTTGCTGAACGTATTTATGCCGGTTTTACAGAATTTCTTAATCCTTATTTGTAAGTTTGACTGAAGAGCAATTAAAATCTTTAAAAAAATGATGAATTTAATTGTTTATAGGTATTGTATAACAACTCAATATGCTTCTTTTGAATGGTCTGTTTATAAACGTTATCGACATTTTCATGATTTACATAAAGCATTAGTTCATTTTGTTGAAACAGAAACAAAAAGATCACTCAGTGATTTAGAAAAGTATGTATGAAATAGAATAATGAAAAGACAAAAATTTATTTTATATCTCTTCAATAGAAAAAGATTAGATACACGTAGGATCATTCTATCCTACCCTACCCTGCAGAGTAATGTACGGTAAAGGTCAACGTGTTGCAGTGTAGGGTAAGAGTTAGAAAATTTTTCTGCATCA